GTCCTGAGATCTGCTGAGTGTGTGTGTGTGAGTCCTGAGAGAGTTGTTGTGTGTTGAGTGTCACAGCGGCACTGAGAGCCGCTCGGCTTTGACTAATCTGGATCAAGACAAAAATACCTAGAGAGAGAGAGAGAGAGAGAGAGAGAGAGAGAGAGAGAGAGACTTTAACTGAATGAGGCATGAGGAAGAGCTTCATCAATAACTTCACACACATTCACTGTCACTGATGTGCTGTTTTCTGGTACGAATTTCTTATTCATTCACTCACTCACTGACACACACACACACACACACTCACGTACACACACTGTCACTCTCACACACACACACACTCACACAGTCACTCTCACACACACACAGACACACACGTGGCCAGCAGCCGCATCACCCTGAGCTGGGCTGGTCAGTGTCTGGATGGGGGGATGCTGGTTCTTGCTGGAGGATGTGTTAGTGAGCCAGCAGGGGGTGCTCACCCTGTGGTGTGTGTGTGTGTGTGTGTGTGTGTGTGTGGGTCCTATAGTGACGGGGACTCTAGACTGTCTAAGATCACCGTCCTGTGGATGAGGCGTTAAACCGCGGCCCTGACTCTCTGAGGTCATTGAGTCCCATGGCACTCCGTGTGAAGAGTAGCGGTGTAACCCGGTGTCACTCACACACTCTCTCCATCGGCCCGCCTGATAATCCCATCCTCTGAACTGGCCCTGTCACTTTCTCTCCTCGCACTGTAGCTGGTGTGTGTGTGTGTGTGTGTGTGTGTGTGTGTGTGTGTGGTGTGTGCACTGCTGGAACCCCTGATATGATTGTATAATACTTTGGGTGTACAGTAATGCACATTAAAAGCACTATAAATGCCTCATTCATTCACATACACACATTTACATTTATTCATTTAGCAGATGCTTTTATCCAAAGCGACTTACAAGTGAGAACAATAGAAGCAGTTAAAATAACAGTAGGACAACAATACGTAAGTGCTGTAACCCCTCTGTTTAATTTCAGTGCAGTTTTAGAATAGAAGAGAAGAGTGTTAGTACTACTGAATCAAGTGCTGCCGGAAGAGATGCGTCTCCAGCAGTTTTTCAGAGTTCGGCAGATCTTTCCTCCAGCAGGAACAGTCATGGTGAAGGTCCGAGGAAGAGATTTTGTGCCTCTTTGAGATGGTGCCTCTCGTCAGTGCCTTGAATTTAATGCGAGCGGCAACTGGCAACCAGTGCAATTTTGTGAGGAGAGGAGTGACGTGTGCTCACACACACACACACACACACACACACTCACCGCTTTTAAATGAGCTAAACCTAAACATGTAATGCAACTAACCCGACGGACCTGAGTGACTTAAACCCAAACTAACCCTCTCAGACTAACACTAACCCAGTGTTTATGGTCTCTGATGGGTTAGTCTGGTTGTGTTAGTAAACTCTGGTGTCATCAGCTGATGTTTGCTGTTATGTTGTTCCCCGCGACACAGGAGACATGTTTATACACACATGACTGTCAGGAGAGACCAGAGGTGTAAGCGGCTCCCGATATATACCTGTGTGTGTGTGTGTGTGTGTCGTCCCCAAGCGCTGCTCCCTGAAGTGATCTGTGAGGAAGCGTTTGCCCTCTATATCTCTCACACTGAGTGACGTCTGCCCTCTCAACAATGTCATCCACTTTCCTGTTATTCACTTCAGTGGAAAGCCACTGCTGCTGTGTGTGAGTGTGTGTGTGACAGGATGCAGTGTGTGAGTGTGTCACTGCGTGTGCTGTTGATCTCCTAGTTTCACACTAATCCGTCTGGACATGTTTCAGGGTTTCACACGTGCAGATCAACCTGTGAGTCAGTGTGTTACCGTTACACTGTAGTGTGTGACTGACTGGCCAACCAATCACTTTACAACTGGCTGACCGACCAATCACATTACAACTGACTGGCCGACCAACTGACTGGCCAACCAATCACATTACAACTGACTGATCGACCAATCACATTACAACTGACTTACCGACCAACTGACTGGCCAACCAATCACATTACAACTGACTGGCCAACCAATCACATTACAACTGACTGACCGACCAATCACATTACAACTGACTTACCGACCAACTGACTGGCCAACCAATCACATTACAACTGACTGGCCGACCAACTGACTGGCCAACCAATCACATTACAACTGACTGGCCGACCAACTGACTGGCCAACCAATCACATTACAACTGACTGATCGACCAATCACATTACAACTGACTGATCGACCAATCACATTACAACTGACTGATCGACCAATCACATTACAACTGACTGACCGACCAATCACATTACAACTGACTGACCGACCAACTGACTGACTGACCAACTGACTGATCGACCAATCACATTACAACTGACTGACCGACCAATCACATTACAACTGACTGATCGACCAATCACATTACAACTGACTGACCGACCAACTGACTGACTGACCAACTGACTGATCGACCAATCACATTACAACTGACGGGCCGACCAATCACATTACAACTGACTGGCCGACCAATCACCAGCCCTAACGGGCCACACGACGCAACCTAAAGAACCTGATTGAGTCAGTCTGGCTGAAAGTGTGAATGTGAGAGCAGCTTAACTCTGTGTGTGCTGATGTTTGAGAAGGGGCATTAGCATTAGCTGGGCCAATAGCAATGGAGCAAATTAATGAAAGGAATAAAAGTTCACAAAGGAAGTTCTTGCTGTCGGATGAGCTTTAACTGGAGCGTTAGCGTGAGATGTGCGCAAGCTGACGGCGGTTTACTAATCTCATTATCTAGTGGAAACGAGGCCACAGTGTCACTGTCCATGAGCACGACGCACACACACTCTCTCTCTCTCTTTCTCTCTCTCTCTCGCTCTCACTCACACACACATACACACGCATGCGGATTCACACACTATCTCTCACACACACACACACACACACTGTCTCTCACTCACACACACAGGTCTTTGTTGTAACTTCACTGAAGTATGTGTGTGTCTTATGTAATGAATTCACAGTTGATTTGATTCTGTCTGTCGCATCTAATCAACACACACACACACACTCACGAAACACCAACAGAACGAGTATTTTAAAGCCATTCTCATCATTTTCAGATTCATGAGAGTGTTTGTTTTTTCCTGAAAGTACAAAGAAAAAATGTATGTAATGGACTGTAAAACATCTGAGCATTTGTTCAGCTATACTGACGGCACTGCATTTGACAACACCTTTCACCATATCGTGTGTGTGAGAGTGAGGGAGACACTGGAACTGTGTGTGCTTCAGTGATTGAGGATGGAGATGATGATGCAGTTCAGTGCAGTGTGTGTTCCAGTGATGGAGGATAGAGATGATGATGCTGTTCAGTGCAGTGTGTGTTCCAGTGATGGAGGATAGAGATGATGATGCAGTTCAGTGCAGTGTGTGTTCCAGTGATGGAGGATAGAGATGATGATGCAGTTCAGTGCAGTGTGTGTTCCAGTGATGGAGGATAGAGATGATGATGCAGTTCAGTGCAGTGTGTGTTCCAGTGATTGAGGATGGAGATGATGATGCAGTTCAGTGCAGTGTGTGTGTTCCAGTGATGGAGGATAGAGATGATGATGCAGTTCAGTGCAGTGTGTGTTCCAGTGATGGAGGATAGAGATGATGATGCAGTTCAGTGCAGTGTTTGTTCCAGTGATGGAGGATAGAGATGATGATGCAGTGTGTGCTTCAGTGATGGAGGATAGAGATGATGATGCAGTTCAGTGCAGTGTGTTTGTTCCAGTGATGGAGGATAGAGATGATGATGCAGTTCAGTGCAGTGTGTGTTCCAGTGATGGAGGATAGAGATGATGATGCAGTTCAGTGCAGTGTGTGCTTCAGTGATGGAGGATAGAGATGATGATGCAGTTCAGTACAGTGTGTGTTCCAGTGATGGAGGATAGAGATGATGATGCAGTTCAGTGCAGTGTGTGTTCCAGTGATGGAGGATAGAGATGATGATGCAGTTCAGTGCAGTGTGTGTTCCAGTGATTGAGGATAGAGATGATGATGCAGTTCAGTGCAGTGTGTGTTCCAGTGATGGAGGATAGAGATGAAGATGCAGTTCAGTGCAGTGTGTGTTCCAGTGATGGAGGATAGAGATGATGATGCAGTTCAGTGCAGTGTTTGTTCCAGTGATGGAGGATAGAGATGATGATGCAGTGTGTGCTTCAGTGATGGAGGATAGAGATGATGATGCAGTTCAGTACAGTGTTTGTTCCAGTGATGGAGGATAGAGATGATGATGCAGTTCAGTACAGTGTTTGTTCCAGTGATGGAGGATAGAGATGATGATGCAGTTCAGTGCAGTGTGTGTGTTCCAGTGATTGAGGATGGAGATGATGATGCAGTTCAGTGCAGTGTGTGTTCCAGTGATTGAGGATGGAGATGATGATGCAGTTCAGTGCAGTGTGTGTTCCAGTGATTGAGGATGGAGATGATGATGCAGTTCAGTGCAGTGTGTGTTCCAGTGATTGAGGATGGAGATGATGATGCAGTTCAGTGCAGTGTGTGTTCCAGTGATTGAGGATGGAGATGATGATGCAGTTCCGCTCCGCTGTAAAGCAGCTATACAGGAGAGGGTTCATCTGAAGTCTTCAGTGTTGGAAAGATCAGCTTTATTTCATTAGTTCTGTTCAGCTGGAGTAAAAAACAGCAAGTAGTCAATATCTGATGTCTTTGTTGATTTTGCAGTTAATAATTTGTCTGCACTTTGTACCAATGGCGTTCTATACAGAAATAAATGAATGTTTAGCTGTCTCTCAATGTCTCTCAGTCCATCAAACGTGTGTGTGTGTGTGTGCACGTGTTTCCGTTCACTTTTCTCGCATTGTCCGATGATCTTTTGGGATGCTGGCCTGCAGTGGAACGGTCTCCATGGTTAATTGAGCATCACCAGAGGGGATGCTGGGATCATCAACTCTGTGTCTGCTCAGATTTCAGATTTGTTCTCGTCTGTCGTTTCAGAGCCCGTTGACGGAGGTGCAGTTCGGACCAATGAAGCTCTATGAAGATCAACTGCAGGTACGACTGTTCGGTGTGTGTGTGTGTGTGTTCTATATTGAGAGGCTCATTATCCCTCATTAATTCTTCAGGTTAGACTTAGGCCGGTTGAGTGAATCAGACTGGTGTGTCCTGGGGTTTCTGGAGCTCCTGTGAGAATCCCTCCAATCTCTCCATGATCTGTTGTGTTTGCAGAGACGCACGCGGCGTTCGAATGATTTGAAGGGCCTGTATTGTCACTGAATTCTATAACCGATGTAGAAACCAAGCAGAAACCTTCCAGCTTCTCTCTTGAAACGAACACTGAGTGCCTTATCCTGCAGTTCCTCCCCTGGCCACTAGAGGCGCTGCAGAGAGACTCACTCCCATAGACCTGCATGTTAAAATGCCCAACTTTACAGCAGAATAAACATCACGGCCTGGTGCTAAAAGTGGTTTTGGTCTATATTGCTAACATTGCTCTTCATGACGACTGTGAGGGGGTGAATATTTTTTTATAAATCATCCATTTAAATTATATTAAGCCTTAAAGTTCTGCATAATTAAGGGAGTGGCCACTTGAGTGACAGGTGGCTTGCCGCTGATGTCACTGCGAGCCGTTTGTTAGCGTCACATCACCTCAGCTAATCCGTCTCGCTGCACATGTTCGTTTATCCGGGAGTGACGCAGCCAAGATCGCGACGGCCGGCTCCGCCCACTTTGGGCTTCAGAAACTACGTCCTTATCTATATAAAGTCTATGGTAGAAACTCTACAACAAATGGAGTCTGGGGTTGGAGTGAGCGGATGCGTCCTAAACCTCAGTTATCATCAACCACGTTCTCCAACACCATGAATGAATAAAGAACTGCTCTGATTGGCTGTGGCATTCAATCGCTCAATGGACACACGCGCACACACACTTCTGAGATACTGTTTGAGTCTCTGCCCGTCTCTTCTCTCTCACACTCCCGTCTACCTCTGAGCTGGACTATCAAGAGTGACAAAACACAACGACACTCGATAATGCAGATACACACAGAATACTGTGAAATGATTAGCGTTAGCATTAGAGCGTTCATTACAGTAGGGAAGTGCAACAGTGATTTCCTTTTCCTGTGTTTGTCCTCCGCTGATCCCACAAAACACACACATCACACCGAGCGTCTGAACCGTTCGTACACACACACATGCAGTGCTTCATCTGAGCGAGTGATTCCTTGAACTATGGGATGCAGTGAATCTGTTCAAATGAACTGTGGGTTCATATCACGAAAATCTGCCTTTCCCCGGTGTGTGAGTGCTGTAACCCGGCGCTTCTACCGACCCAGAGAACGTGAGAAGATATTACCCGCGGGTCTTAAAAGCATTGCAAAAGTCTTAAATTTGATCATCTCAAATTAAGGCCTTAAAGGAACACTCCGACTTTTTGAGCCTATTCACCTTATCCCCCAGAGTTAGATAAGTCCATACATACCTTCTTCATCTCCGTGCGTGCTATAAGTCTGTTTGACGCACCCACCGCTAGCCTAGCTTAGCACAAAGACTGGATGTAAATGGTTGCAGCTAGCACACTAATCCAACTAAGTAACAAAATAACGCAAACATTTTCCTATTTACATGTTGTGATTTGTATAGTCACAGAGTGTACAAAAAAACAAAGTCACATGAGACAGACATCGTTTAACCGTATAAATACTGAGAACTATATTTTCTGAAGGCGAAGCACTGCTACTTGGGCGGAGTGATAACCGCAGCACCGAGACGCACCGTGACGAGGAGCAGAGAGTTGGAGTAATAGAGTCAGCAATTACTAGATAGAAAAGCATAGTTTATCATGGGTGTCTGCTTTATTGCATGAGCTGTGACAATAAACAGGGGAGACCAGGTAACATCATGATGTTTCATTGAATTCCAACCAAAAACGCATCCTGGTTGATAAACATCACATGTTTTTGTGGTTGAACGCACTGATGAAGTGTGTGTGTGTGTGTGTGTGTGTGTGTGCAGGTACTGTTAGTGTTTGCCAAAGATGACGCTCAGAGCGGCGGCTTCGCCTGGGCCTGTGAGCGGGCCGGGTTCAGGTGTAATGTGGCCCGAACACCAGAGGCGGCGCTGGAGAGTTTCCAGGAGAAGAACCACGACCTGATCCTCATCGATCACAGGCATGCCAGGGGTTTCGACGCCGAGGCGCTCTGCCGGTACGCTCCCGTCGCTAACCCTGCGCTAACTGCTCGTGTGTGTGTTCGCTAACCCTGCGCTAACTGTTCGTGTGTGTGTGCGCTAACCCTGCGCTAACTGCTCGTGTCTGTGTGTTCGCTAACCCTGCGCTAACTGCTCGTGTGTGTGTTCGCTAACCCTGCGCTAACTGCTCGTGTGTGTGTGCGCTAACCCTGCGCTAACTGCTCGTGTGTGTGTGTTCTCTAACCCTGCGCTAACTGCTCGTGTGTGTGTTCGCTAACCCTGCGCTAACTGCTCGTGTGTGTGTGTTCGCTAACCCTGCGCTAACTGCTCGTGTGTGTGTTCGCTAACCCTGCGCTAACTGCTCGTGTGTGTGTTTGCTAACCCTGCGCTAACTGCTCGTGTGTGTGTTCGCCAACCCTGCGCTAACTGCTCGTGTGTGTGTTCTCTAACCCTGCGCTAACTGCTCGTGTGTGTGTTCGCTAACCCTGCGCTAACTGCTCGTGTGTGTTCGCTAACCCTGCGCTAACTGCTCGTGTGTGTGTTCGCTAACCCTGCGCTAACTGCTCGTGTGTGTGTTCGCTAACCCTGCGCTAACTGCTCGTGTGTGTTCGCTAACCCTGCGCTAACTGCTCGTGTGTGTGTTCGCTAACCCTGCGCTAACTGCTCGTGTGTGTGTTCGCTAACCCTGCGCTAACTGCTCGTGTGTGTGTTCGCTAACCCTGCGCTAACTGCTCGTGTGTGTGTTCGCCAACCCTGCGCTAACTGCTCGTGTGTGTGTTCTCTAACCCTGCGCTAACTGCTCGTGTGTGTGTTCGCTAACCCTGCGCTAACTGCTCGTGTGTGTGTTCGCTAACCCTGCGCTAACTGCTCGTGTGTGTTCGCTAACCCTGCGCTAACTGCTCGTGTGTGTGTTCGCTAACCCTGCGCTAACTGCTCGTGTGTGTGTTCGCTAACCCTGCGCTAACTGCTCGTGTGTGTGTTCGCTAACCCTGCGCTAACTGCTCGTGTGTGTGTTCGCCAACCCTGCGCTAACTGCTCGTGTGTGTGTTCTCTAACCCTGCGCTAACTGCTCGTGTGTGTGTTCGCTAACCCTGCGCTAACTGCTCGTGTGTGTGTTCGCTAACCCTGCGCTAACTGCTCGTGTGTGTTCGCTAACCCTGCGCTAACTGCTCGTGTGTGTGTTCGCTAACCCTGCGCTAACTGCTCGTGTGTGTGTTCGCTAACCCTGCGCTAACTGCTCGTGTGTGTGTTCGCTAACCCTGCGCTAACTGCTCGTGTGTGTTCGCTAACCCTGCGCTAACTGCTCGTGTGTGTGTGTTCGCTAACCCTGCGCTAACTGCTCGTGTGTGTGTGTTCGCTAACCCTGCGCTAACTGCTCGTGTGTGTGTGTTCGCTAACCCTGCGCTAACTGCTCGTGTGTGTGTTCGCTAACCCTGCGCTAACTGCTCGTGTGTGTGTTCGCTAACCCTGCGCTAACTGCTCGTGTGTGTGTTTGCTAACCCTGCGCTAACTGCTCGTGTGTGTGTTTGCTAACCCTGCGCTAACTGCTCGTGTGTGTGTTCGCTAACCCTGCGCTAACTGCTCGTGTGTGTGTGTTCGCTAACCCTGCGCTAACTGCTCGTGTGTGTGTTCGCTAACCCTGCGCTAACTGCTCGTGTGTGTGTTTGCTAACCCTGCGCTAACTGCTCGTGTGTGTGTTCGCTAACCCTGCGCTAACTGCTCGTGTGTGTGTTCGCTAACCCTGCGCTAACTGCTCTGTGTGTGTTCGCTAACCCTGCGCTAACTGCTCGTGTGTGTTCGCTAACCCTGCGCTAACTGCTCGTGTGTGTGTTCGCTAACCCTGCGCTAACTGCTCGTGTGTGTTCGCTAACCCTGCGCTAACTGCTCGTGTGTGTGTTCGCTAACCCTGCGCTAACTGCTCGTGTGTGTGTTCGCTAACCCTGCGCTAACTGCTCGTGTGTGTGTTCGCTAACCCTGCGCTAACTGCTCGTGTGTGTGTTCGCTAACCCTGCGCTAACTGCTCGTGTGTGTGTTCTCTAACCCTGCGCTAACTGCTCGTGTGTGTGTTCGCTAACCCTGCGCTAACTGCTCGTGTGTGTGTTCTCTAACCCTGCGCTAACTGCTCGTGTGTGTGTTTGCTAACCCTGCGCTAACTGCTCGTGTGTGTGTTCTCTAACCCTGCGCTAACAGCTCGTGTGTGTGTTCGCTAACCCTGCGCTAACTGCTCGTGTGTGTTCGCTAACCCTGCGCTAACTGCTCGTGTGTGTGTTCGCTAACCCTGCGCTAACTGCTCGTGTGTGTGTTCGCTAACCCTGCGCTAACTGCTCGTGTGTGTGTTCGCTAACCCTGCGCTAACTGCTCGTGTGTGTGTTCTCTAACCCTGCGCTAACAGCTCGTGTGTGTGTGTTCGCTAACCCTGCGCTAACTGCTCGTGTGTGTGTTCTCTAACCCTGCGCTAACTGCTCGTGTGTGTGTTCTCTAACCCTGCGCTAACAGCTCGTGTGTGTGTTCGCTAACCCTGCGCTAACTGCTCGTGTGTGTTCGCTAACCCTGCGCTAACTGCTCGTGTGTGTGTTCGCTAACCCTGCGCTAACTGCTCGTGTGTGTGTTCTCTAACCCTGCGCTAACTGCTCGTGTGTGTGTTCGCTAACCCTGCGCTAACTGCTCGTGTGTGTGTTCTCTAACCCTGCGCTAACTGCTCGTGTGTGTGTTCGCTAACCCTGCGCTAACTGCTCGTGTGTGTGTTCTCTAACCCTGCGCTAACTGCTCGTGTGTGTGTTTGCTAACCCTGCGCTAACTGCTCGTGTGTGTGTTCTCTAACCCTGCGCTAACAGCTCGTGTGTGTGTTCGCTAACCCTGCGCTAACTGCTCGTGTGTGTTCGCTAACCCTGCGCTAACTGCTCGTGTGTGTGTTCGCTAACCCTGCGCTAACTGCTCGTGTGTGTGTTCGCTAACCCTGCGCTAACTGCTCGTGTGTGTGTTCGCTAACCCTGCGCTAACTGCTCGTGTGTGTGTTCTCTAACCCTGCGCTAACAGCTCGTGTGTGTGTGTTCGCTAACCCTGCGCTAACTGCTCGTGTGTGTGTTCTCTAACCCTGCGCTAACTGCTCGTGTGTGTGTTCTCTAACCCTGCGCTAACTGCTCGTGTGTGTGTTCTCTAACCCTGCGCTAACAGCTCGTGTGTGTGTTCGCTAACCCTGCGCTAACTGCTCGTGTGTGTTCGCTAACCCTGCGCTAACTGCTCGTGTGTGTGTTCGCTAACCCTGCGCTAACTGCTCGTGTGTGTGTTCTCTAACCCTGCGCTAACTGCTCGTGTGTGTGTTCGCTAACCCTGCGCTAACTGCTCGTGTGTGTGTTCTCTAACCCTGCACTTTATAAGTAAAATATACATTATAAATATTTACAGAAATTATTCAGTGAAGAGCGAGTCTCAGTGTTGTGTGATTAGTGTTATTATAGAGACAGCGGGTCCAGTACACACACACACACACACAAACACAGAGTAGCGGGTCCAGTACACACACACACACACACACACACACACGAGGACAGAACACAGAATCCTCGACAGAAATGAAGTGTAATTGAAGAAAGGATAGGAAGTTCGTGTGTGTGTGTGTGTGTGTCTGGAAGATGTTGACGTTTGTTTTTTGTTGAGTCTATTCTTCATTCTATTCTTTCTTTATTCCAGCTCAATACGAGCCGTCAGCTGCTCTCAACACACTGTGATCGTGGCTGTAGTGAAAAGGTTTGTGCCCAAATATATCACACACACACACACACACATTCTCTCACTCACACGCACCCTCACACACACTTAAACAGACACTCTCTCTCTCTCTCACACACACTTAAACACACACAAACACACACACTCTCAGATGGTCCGTTCATAGATGTTCTAATGGCCCTAAACCGCCACTCAGAACATCAGTTGACGGATTCACGCTCGCGTCAGTCCACTTTAATATCGTCACATATCTGGCGCTCATAAGTGTGTGTGTGTGTGCGCATGTGTGTGTGTCATCCAGTTATCATGTGATTATTCATGTGTTGTGTTCTGAAGGCCGGATCGTGAAGAAGCCACTGTGATGCCGCTGATATCAGCAGGATTTAACAGGGTGAGTGTGTGTGTGTGTGTGTGTGTTTGATTTCGAGTCTGTGTTCTTCATTCAGGATGATCATGAATCTGTGTGTGTGTGTGTGTGTCTCAGCGATACGTAGAGAACTCCAACATGATGGCCTGTTATAACGAACTCCTGCAGCTCCACCATGGAGAAGTACGAGCTCAGATCAAACTCCGGTGAGACTGCGACTCCTCACGGCCGTGTGTGTGTGTTTAATCTTTGCTTCATTGTCACATTGACAGTCTCTCTGATCATTGTGTGTGTGTGTGTGTTTTCAGAGCCTGTAACGCTGTTTTTACTGCACTGGAACAGAGTCAGGAAGCCATTGAGATCAGCAATGAAGATCAGATCATACAGGTACACACACACACACACACACACACGTTAAGCTTCATTAAGGTTTAAAGAACAGGTTAAATCAGACTCGATCACAGATGTCAGCTCTAGATGATCACTGAGACTCTGGTTCATCAACTTGTTTCTGCTTCTCTCACAGTACGTCAACCCAGCGTACGAGTGCATCATGGGATACCAGCGCGGAGAACTGCTGAAGGAAAACACTGAAGTGCCTAAGAGTGAGAAAAACAAACCAGACCTGCTGGACAACATCAGCTCCTGCATCCACAGAGGGAAAGTGAGTCACACACACATGCACACACACACACACACACTCACTCACTCACTCACACACACACTCTCACTCACTCACTCTGAAGTAATGAGGTTTACTCAGACTGTGACACTAGCGATCACTGCAAGTTTTTTCATAGTCTAGGTTTATTGTGTGAACAACCCTGCTGGAGCACAAAGGTCACACACACACACACACACACACACACACACACACACTCACAGCTGGAGGGGTGTTTGAAGCCCCAGACGCTGGACTTTCATCACACTGGGGTCGGACTTTGATTCTCCATCATACCTGAGAACTTATCCTTTATGCTCTTTTGACTCTCTGTGGTGTGTGTGTTGTGTGTTGTGTGTGTGTGTGTGTTTCAGGAGTGGCAGGGGGTTTATTATGCCAAAAAGAAGAACGGAGACAGTGTGCAACAGAATGTGAAGATGACGCCTGTCATTGGACAGGGAGGGTGAGTGCCGTTTCTCGATGTTTTACTCTGTTCTACATGGTATGATCATGAAGCAGTCACGATATTTGAAAACTAATTGTGATGATGTATAAATCAAAAGACAGATTTCAGCTTCAATTCAAAACAAAATAGAATGTGTGAACTGCTTCCTGTTGGCCGAGGGTCATGTGGACTATAGTTTGATCTCATGTTCGCATGGTTAATCTGTGTGTGTGTGTGTTTCTCCTGTAGTAAAGTCAGGCACTGTGTGTCTGTTAACAGGCCTTTAAATGACCATAACAAGGTAAGAACACATTGAGTGTGTCAGTGATACTGTGGTGTGTTCGTCTTTCTGATGTTAATGACTGATCTGTGTGTTCTGATCCAGACAGAAAAGCCCTGTGAGCGAGTCCAGGCCGAATCACAGACAGGTACCAGAGCAACACACACTCATTACACTCTTGTTATGCTCTTCACACTCTCGTTACACTCGTTACACTATTCACACACCTGCTACACTCTTTACATTTGTTATGTTTTTCACACTCGTTACACTCTTGACACTTGTTACACTCTTTACTCTTCACTCTCTTTACACCCGTTACACTCTTTACACTCTTTACTCTTCACTCTCTTTACACCCGTTACACTCTTTACACTCTTTACTCTTCACTCTCTTTTACACCCGTTACACTCTTTTACACTCTTTACACCCGTTACACTCTTTACTCTTCACTCTCTTTACACTCGTTACACTCTTTACACTCTTTACACTCTTGACACTTGTTACACTCTTTACTCTTCACTCTCTTTACACTCGTTACACTCTTTACACTCTTTACTCTTCACTCTCTTTACACTCGTTACCCTTGTTACACTCTTTACTCTTCACTCTCTTTACACTCGTTACTCTCTTTACACTCGTTACACTCTTTACACCCGTTACACTCTTTACACTCGTTACACTCTTTACACTCGTTACACTCTTTACTCTTCACTCTCTTTACACCCGTTACACTCGTTACACTCTTTACACTCTTTACACTCGTTACACTCTTTACTCTTCACTCTCTTTACACCCGTTACACTCTTTACACTCGTTACACTCTTTACACCCGTTACACTCTTTACACCCGTTACACTCTTTACACCCGTTACACTCTTTACACCCGTTACACTCTTTACACCCATTACACTCTTTACACCCGTTACACTCTTTACACCCGTTACACCTGTTACACTCTTTACACCTGTTACACTCTTTACACCCGTTACAAACTCTTTACACCAGTTACACTCTTTACACCCGTTAAAATTTTTACACTCTTTACACCCGTTACACTCTTTACACTCGTTACACTCTTTACACCCGTTACACTCTTTACACCCGTTACACTCTTTACACTCTTTACACCCGTTACACTCTTTACACCCGTTACACTCTTTACACTCTTTACACCCGTTACACTCTTTACACTCTTTACACCAGTTACACTCTTTACACCCGTTACACTCTTTACACTCTTTACACCCGTTACACTCTTTACACTCTTTACACCCGTTACACTCTTTACACCCGTTACACTCTTTACACCCGTTACACTCTTTACACTCTTTACACCCGTTACACTCTTTACACTCTTTACACCCGTTACACTCTTTACACCCGTTACACTCTTTACACTCTTTACACCCGTTACACTCTTTACACTCTTTACACCCGTTACACTCATTACACCTGTTACACTCTTTACACTCTTTAACACTCGTTACACTCTTTACACTCTTTACACCCGTTACCACTCTTTACACCCGTTACACTCTTTACACCCGTTACGCTCTTTACACTCTTTACACTCTTTACACCCGTTACACTCTTTACACTCTTTACACCCGTTACACTCTTTACACTCTTTACACTCTTTACTCCCGTTACACTCTTTACACCCGTTACACTCTTTACACTCTTTACACCCGTTACACTCTTTACACCCGTTACACTCTTTACACCCGTTACACTCTTTACACCCGTTACACTCTTTACACTCTTTACACCCGTTACACTCTTTACACCCGTTACACTCTTTACACCCGTTACACTCTTTACACTCTTTACACCCGTTACACTCTTTACACCTGTTACACTCTTTACACCCGTTACACTCTTTACACTCGTTACACTCTTTACACTCTTTACACCCGTTACACCCGTTACACTCTTTACTCTTCACTCTCTTTACACTCTTTACACTCATTAGACTCTTCACACTCTTTACATCAGTACACTCTTGTGTGTGTGAGTGTTGAGGTGTACTAATGTCTTGTTGCTGTTGTCATTGTGTGTCAGATATTCAGCAGTTCAGCAAACACAAGGACCGCAGGAAAGGATCGCTGGATGTTCGCTCGACGACCTCTAGAGGAAGTGATGGTGAGACAACACACTGCTGAACCCCTCCCCTAACTCATAGCCCCTCCCCTAACTCATAGCCCCTCCCCTTACCCAGTGCCCCTCCCCTAACTCATAGCCCCTCCCCTAACTCATAGCCCCTCATAGTGTCTGTTAATACGATAACTATGACTAACCTTTGACCTCTGACCCCTGTGCATGTCAGTGCATCATACAGTTTATCAGATCTTCTTGTCTTTAGCAGGAAGTTCCCAGAGGAGACACTCGTCTATGGCCAGAATTCACTCCATGACTATTGAAGCTCCCATCACTAAGGTACTGTGTTTGTGTGTTCTGTAGGCTTGTGTGTGTGTGTGTGAGTGAGAGTTTGTGTTCTGTAGGCTCATGTGTTAAGTCTGCTGTGTGTGTGTGTGCAGGTGATAAACATCATCAATGCGGCTCAGGAGAGCAGTCCGATGCCGGTGGCCGAAGCGCTGGACCGAGTGCTGGAGATCCTGAGGACCACAGAGTTGTACTCTCCTCAGCTCGGCACTAACGAGGAAGACCCGCACACTAACGACCTGGTGGGCGGATTAATGACCGTGAGTCTCATGGCCTATAATCATCACAGCATTACATGGATTCAGATTATTAAACTCCAACGGAAGAGAAGTTGAGCTGAGCTGGTCTTTTCTCCTCTATTGTGTCGTATATCGAGTGAAGCGCTTCTAGAACAAGAACACATGTGGGCGGGGCTTGATTGTGTCTGTGGGCGGGGCTTGATTTTGTTTGTGGGGAACTGATTTGCTGGTTGTGCTTTGCTATTGGCTGATTTCATGTCAGTGACAGGTTATAGCCCCGCCCTCATCATCAGAGAAGAGATGCTGCAAGAGGAACTGATTCTGATTCGACATTATTAACACGATGATGATGATGATTATGATGATGCGTACCCATAAATCATTTACAATAAACACTGCAATATTGTGTTTGACATTTAAACAACAAACAGAGCAGCATCATTATCCAGTACTGTGGTCCATGTCCAGTTATTGTGTGTGTGTGTGTGTGTGTGTGTGTCAGATGTTGACTCTGCTCTCTCTCCTGCAGGACGGGATGCGCAGGTTATCAGGGAACGAGTATATCTTCACCTCTAAACGTAAGCCAAGTTCACCGCTTTCTGACCTTCGACCCTGTTCCTGTGCAATGGTTCTCACACACAAACACACTGTGTTTCAGAGCTGCATCACATCCCGAGTCACCTGACCACACCACTGTCCCTCAACGATATCCCACCATGCATTGCTCAGACGATGGAAAACGAAGACTCGTGGGACTTTGATATTTTCAGCCTGGAGTCGGCCACCATGAAGCGGTGAAGCGCGCACACACACACACACACAGACAAACATGTGCACAAGCACATACACTCACAGACCATCACACATGGACAAGCACACACACACTCATGGACACATGCTCAAAACACACTTGCATACACACATGCAGAAATACACACACACACACACACACACACACAATTCCATGATTATATATAATCATTTCCAGAATAATGTGATTGTAAACGGTCACTCGCTCACTGTGAGCAAAACAGTCGCAATTACATTTTTTTTAAAACCTTTTTTTACTCTTTGGCGGAATCAAGATTCTATCTCACACACACACACACACACACACAGGGTTGCTGGAGACTCTGTGTGTGTGTGTGTGTCATGTGACTGTCCTCATGCTGCCATGTGTGTCTCCAGGCCTCTGCTGTTCCTGGGCTTGAAGATCTTCTCTCGGTTCGGTGTGTGTGAGTTCCTCAACTGTCCCGAGGCGACGCTGCGCTCGTGGCTTCAGATCCTCGAGGCCAATTATCACTCCAGCAACTCGTACCACAACTCCTCGCACGCCGCGGATGTGCTGCACGCCACAGCTTACTTCCTGTGCAAGGAGCGCGTCAAGGTGAGCACACACACACTGACTCACTCACTCACTCACTCACACACACTCTCACTCCCGGATCTGTGGTCATGTGATCCACAGTTAGCTAGTGTTGTTGACTATGGGATTAGATCCTGTCACACACTTTATGACGCTTCATGTGTGTGTGTGTGTGTGTGTGTGTGTGTCTCAGCAAAGTCTGGACCCCATAGACGAGGTGGCGGCCCTGATCGCTGCTGCTGTTCATGATGTGGACCATCCGGGCCGCACAAACTCCTTCCTGTGTAATGCAGGAAGTGATCTCGCCATCCTGTACAACGACACGGCAGTGCTAGAGTCGCATCACGCAGCGCTAGCGTTCCAGATCACCACGCGAGACGACAAGTGCAACATCTTCAAGAACATGGAGAGGTGATGACACGTACAGGATTAACCTCGTCAGAGTTACTTGCACTGCACAGTTCTTTTTAAGTCAAATACATCATTTGCAATGCATTATGGGATGAGTGGTTCCCCAGCCCCGACCCCCACGGCCCTGACCCCCAATCAGTGCAATCGGTCCTGTCACCAGCTCCTCCTCCTCTTCCTCTCTCCTCCTCCTCCTCTTCCTCTCTCCTCTTCTTCCTCTCTCTCCTCCTCCCTCCTCCTCCTCTTCCTCTCTCCTCCTCCTCTCTCCTAATCTTCCTCTCTCCTCCTCTTCCTCTCTCTCCTCCTCCCTCCTCCTCCTCTTCCTCTCTCTCCTCCTCCCTCCTCTTCCTCTCTCCTCCTTCCTCTCTCCTCCTCCTCTCTCCTCCTCTTCCTCTCTTCCTCTTCCTCCTCTCTCCTCTCTCTTCCTCTCTCCTCCTCTCTTCCTCCTCTTTCCCTCTCCTCCTTCTCCCTCATCCTCCTCTTCCTCTCTCCCTCTTCCTCTCTCCTCCTTCCTCTCCTCCTCCTCCCTCCTCTCTCCCTCCTCCTCTTCCTCTCTCCTCTTCCTCTCTCCTCTTCCTCCCTCCTCCTCCTCTCTCCTCTTCCCTCTCCTCTTCCTCTCTCCTCCTCTCTCCTCCTCCTCTTCGTCTCTCCTCCTCCTCCTCTCCTCCTCCTCTTCCTCTCTCCTCCTTCCTCTCTCCTCCTTCCTCTCTCCTCCTCCTCTTCCTCTCTCCTCTTCCTCTCTCCTCCTCTTCCTCCTCCTCCTCCTCTTCCTCTCTCCTCTTCCTCTCTCCTCTTCCTCTCTCCTCCTCCTCCTCTCTCCTCCTCCTCTTCCTCTCTCCTCTTCTCTCTCCTCTTCCTCTCTCCTCCTCTCTCCTCCTCCTCCTCTTCGTCTCTCCTCCTCTCCTCCTCTTCCTCTCTCCTCCTCCTCTTTCTCCTCCTCTCTCCTCCTCCCTCTCCTCTTCCTCTCTCCTCCTCCTCCTCTCTCCTTCTCCCCTTCCTCTCTCCTCCTCCTCTTCTCCTCCTCTCTCCTCCCCTCCTCCTCTTCTCTCTCCTCCTCTCTCCTCCTCCTCTTCGTCTCTCCTCCTCCTCTTTCTCCTCCTCTCTCCTCCTCCTCCTCCTCTTCCTCTCTCCTCCTCCTCTTTCTCCTCCTCTCTCCTCCTCCCTCTCTCCTCTTCCTCTCCTCCTCTTCCTCCTCCTCCTCCTCTTTTCCTCTCTCCTCTTCCTCTCTCCTCTTCCTCTCTCCTCCTCCTCCTCTCTCCTCCTCCTCTTCCTCTCTCCTCTTCCTCTCTCCTCTTCCTCTCTCCTCCTCTCTCCTCCTCCTCCTCTTCGTCTCTCCTCCTCTCTCCTCTTCCTCTCTCCTCCTCCTCTTTCTCCTCCTCTCTCCTCCTCCCTCCTCCTCTTCCTCTCTCCTCCTCCTCCTCTCCTTCTCCTCTTCCTCTCTCCTCCTCCTCTTTCTCCTCCTCTCTCCTCCCCCCTCCTCCTCTTCCTCTCTCCTCCTCTCTCCTCCTCCTCTTCGTCTCTCTCCTCCTCCTCTTTCTCCTCCTCTCTCCTCCTCCCTCCTCCTCTTCCTCTCTCCTCCTCCTCTTTCTCCTCCTCTCTCCTCCTCCCTCCTCCTCTTCCTCTCTCCTCCTCCTCCTCTCTCCTCCTCCTCTTTCTCCTCCTCTTCTCCTCCTCCCTCCTCCTCTTCCTCTCTCCTCCTCCTCCTCTCTCCTCCTCCTCTTTCTCCTCCTCTCTCCTCCTCCCTCCTTCTCTTCCTCTCTCCTCCTCCTCTCTCCTCCTCCTCTTCCAAATGTGTTTTAGAAGGACAGATCAACAGTTGAAGGATTAGTTTTAGTGTGCCGTTATGTGTTGTGTCGTGATGTGTGTGTTCGAGTAAGCAGATTTATGTCATGACTCGAGGATTTGCACAGATTTGTGATACGAACATCCATCAAACTGAGTACACATCAGTAACGCCAAACAGCGTTGAACACTAGTGACACACACACACTCTCTCTCTCTCACAGGAACGAGTACCGCACGCTCCGCCAGGCCGTCATCGACATGGTCCTCGCCACTGAAATGACCAAACACTTCGAGCACGTCAACAAGTTCGTCAACAGCATCAACAAACCGCTGGCGGCCCTGGAGGAGAACGAGGTGAGACACACACACACACACACACACAGCTGAGTTCAGTGAGTCTGGGCTGGACGTACTCAGCGCTGGACTCTTGTATCCACAATATAAGATATTGAAGAAAAGCTGACGCCGCTCCTGATGGGAATAAAGGTTGTGATGTTGGGTTAGCGTTAGCGTTAGGGTTAGCGTTAGCTTTAGCCTGACTCCCATCAAGAGCTGCATACATTTTTGGTCAGATTTTAGGTATAAATTACTGGTACTGTAATCAAATGTAAAATAACACTGTACTTTATAAATAAAATATACATTACACACAGAGTTATGAAAGTTATTCAACAGCGAGAGGATGTTCTCAGTCTTGTGATTAGTGTTATTATAGAGACGGAGGAATATTAGCGCTATATTTAGTGCAACACTGATACACACACGAGCACAGAACACACAGTCTCGCTCGACCGCTTTACACTCACGCTGAGATACACAGAGCAATCGAAGAGAGGAAGGATCTGAACACGTATCCGATTCCTGATTGGATATGTATATAGATATGTAAACATTTTATATCTTTGGTGTTTCAATAAAACGTGTGTCTGTGTGTGTGTGTGTGTGTGTGTGTAGGGCAGCGGAGACGAGGACTCGGTGAAGAACATCCTCACGGTTCCAGAGAACCGGATGCTGGTGAAGCGGATGTTGATCAAGTGTGCCGACATCTCGAACCCGTGCCGCCCGCTGGAGCTGTGTGTGGAGTGGGCCGGACGCATCTCAGAGGAGTACTTCGCTCAGGTGTGTGTGTGTGTGTGTGTGTTTGCAGACGGATGAGGAGAAGCAGCAGAAGCTCAGTGTGTGTGTGTGTGTGTGTGTGTTTGCAGACGGATGAGGAGAAGCAGCAGGGTTTGCCGGTGGTGATGCCCGTGTTCGATCGCAACACCTGCAGTATTCCCAAATCCCAGATCTCCTTCATCGATTACTTCATCACGGACATGTTCGACGCCTGGGACGGTAAAGCACGTTCTCCTTTAATTATCGGCCAGACGATGATGATTTATATTGAGTGTGACTCCTGCTGCATCCATTTCAAAATAAATAATCATTTAGTTCAAACAGGCCTTGAACTAGATCTCTACCGTCTCGATGATGTTGAATGTAATCGGCTCTCGTGACTGTCCTGGCGATCCTTGTGTCACGATAGAGTTATTTATCTCATTTCTGTTAATGAAAATAAGAAAAAAGAAGCTAATTACAATCCATACAATAAAGATTTGAGCAAACAAGTTTGTCAGGTATGTTGAAAAATTAAATATTGCAAAGTCTTCACTGTATGAATTGAATATAAATGTATTCTTATTAAAGCTAACAGTGGTTCAGCCGAGAGCCGTGAGGGATTCTCCTTCGTTTGATTGACAATGACCGAGAGCAGGTTTATTAGGCTACTGTCACTTTAAGAGCAAACGCACCGATCCCATATACCGACACAAAATAAATATAAGAGCATACGGTAGTGGAGGAATTGACGTCCATCCTGCGAACATTGACCTACTCATCCTTTTTAAAGATTTCGTAAGAATATTGTGTAGTTTTGAGTTGATTGTTTTTTTATGATAGTAATGCAATCATAACGAATTGTGCGACATATTTTGTGCCCAGTGAAATTATGAACCATGCAAAAACCAGAGGACCAATGAAATATTAATCTGCCAAATAAATCTGTCGGATAAACAACTTAACCAAGTTTAGTGGTTTGTTCTTCAATTATATTTAAAATATTTTAATACATTATCCTCTTGATGATTTAATCGAACTTGTAGGGTCTCTTTCACATGACCTGTTTTTAGGTGCCTGATGAAGTTTGACGTTGTGGATCCGGCATCATTTATCTTGCATGTAGCTGTTCGCTTACCGACACTGTAAAGTTATTAAAACCAAAACTAATGACTAAAGGCACAACACCGGGAGGACTTGGTGTGGCCATCATGTGACTGTGCGCGGCGCACACATAATAATAATAATAATAATTCATTACATTTATATAGCGCTTTTCTCGGCACTCAACATAGAGAGGGGGATCTCCTCAACCACCACCAGTGTGCAGCTCCACCTGGATGATGATGTGACGGCTGCCATAGTGCGCCAGAACGCTCACCACACACCGGCTTACTGGTGGAGAGGAGACAGTGATGAAGCCAACTGGTATATATGGGGATGATTAGGAGGCCATGATGGACAGAGGCCACTGGGCAAATTAAGCCAGGATGCCGGGGTTACACCCCTACTCTTTCCAAAGACATCCTGGGATTTTTAATGACCACAGAGAGTCAGGACCTCGGTTTAACGTCTCATCCGAAGGACGGTGCTCTTTTGACAGCATAGTGTCCCCATTACTACTTGGGCATTAGGACCCACACAGACCCCAGGGTGAGCGCCCCCTGCTGGCCTCACTAACACCTCTTCCAGCAGCAACCTGGCTTTCTCAGAAGGTCTCCCATCCAGGTACTAACCAGACTCAGCCCTGCTTAGCTTCAGTGGGCAACCAGTCTTGGGCTACAGGGTGATAGAGCTGCTGGTGTAGCCAGGCATAGGCATAACGCATGCATGTTACGCAGTATGGCAAACGGCAGGGGACATGGCATGCAGCTCACCATACACTTCCCCAACGTATAATAAGAGAAAATAGAAATACATTCATGAATTTATATTTAAAAAGCATTAATGGCATGAAAAAGGGTTGTTGCCGAGTCTGAAGTCAGCTGTTTGTGCGACTCGAGTCTGGGAGATTCAGTGGCAGCACAGTCACCTCTGGAGGGATGTGAAGGCCAGGAATATCCCAGAGCGGGAGGCACACATGAGGAACGAGTCGGATCCCTCAGGAACAGAAGCTGCTGTCGGTTATACGTCTCGGCTGCTGAACGTTTTGAGACTGTAGAAGTCATAAAAGTTGCATTTTCAGTTGAATTTGGGGAACCCACTTTAACCATTTGTTGTGTTGTGTAGTTTGCCTTCAAACTTGTAGCGTAATTAAAACCAAAGATCCCACTGCGGACGTCACTTTTGGACACTACTGTGTGTGTGTGTATAATAGATTGATTTATTTCTGTGTGAATGCTGATATGAAGTGAACCGATGTGTGTTTCTCTGCTTCCAGCGTTTGCCGATCTGCCCAATTTAATGCAGCATCTGGACAACAACTTCAAATACTGGAAGGGTTTGGACGAGCAGAAGCTGCGGAGCCTGAGGCCGCCGGAGTGACGGGCGAGACGCGGCTCCTCCAGCTCGCCACTCGTCACGCTTCATCATCAGTAACTAACGAGGAGAATCATGTTCGCTAACAAACACCCTGAAGAGATGGGACGGCCGACAGGACGAAGGCTGCTCTAGACTGAGGCGCTCGTTCTCCTGAAGACTTCCCAGCGTCCCCTCTGAGCTCGCTCTCCTGACGAGACTGCTGCCTTATTTTATACGCTATATTTATACGCAGTGCTGACCCACGACGGACATCTGCAGTTTTTAACACTCTCATGTTATATGAAGTAAATCTCAATATTTTTATAGATACTGAATTTTACACTGGAAGGATGTAAAGCATCTCAGACTGGTGTGAGAGACGATCGCTTCTCTTCCCGCCCAGCGATTCCCTCCATCTTCCCATCAGGGCTCGATCATTCCCAGAGAGACGACGGGATTCACTCCACATGGAGAGACCTGTGCTTCATTTCGTCTCAAATCCAGATCCTCTTCCTGCAGACGAACACCGACAGAACGTTGACTCGGACAAACCTTGACGCAGACGAACGTTGACTCAGAAAAACGCAGACGGACGTTGACGCAGACGAACGTTGACTCAGAAAAACGTTAACCGTTGAGTGCAGACAAACGTTGACTCAGATGAACGCAGACGAACGTTGACTCAGAAAAACGTTGACACAGACGAACACAGATGGACATTGACGCAAACGAGCGCAGACAGTCGTTGATGCAGACGAATGTTGACTTGGAAAAACGTTGACAGACGAGTGCAGACGAACGTTGACTCAGACGAGTGCAGATGGTTGTTGACGCAGACGAGCGCAGACAGTCGTTGATGCAGACAAACATTGACGCAGACGGACGTTGACTCGAACGAGGGCAGACGAACGTTGACTCAGACAAACGTTGACAGACGAGTGCAGACGAACGTTGACTCAGACGAGTGCAGATGTTGCCGCAGACGAACGTTGACTCAGACGAGTGCAGATGTTGACGCAGACGAACGTTGACTCAGGCGAGTGCAGATGTTGACGCAGACGAGTGCAGATGTTGCCGCAGACGGACGTTGACTCGAACGAGGGCAGACGAATGTTGACTCAGACAAACGTTGACAGACGAGTGCAGACGAACAGTGACTCAGACGAGTGCAGATGTTGCCACAGACGGACGTTGACTCGAACGAGGACAGACGAATGTTGATGCAGACGAACGTTGATGCACATGGAGGTTGACGCAGACGGACGTTGATGCAGACGAGCGCAGACGCAGACAAACGTTGACTCAGACGAGCGCAGACGCAGACAGTGGGGTCACGGGCTCGTGGCCTTTAGCCCGGCTCATTTTTTGCTCCAGAATTAAAAAAGAAATGAGATTCTATTTTGTATTTTAGGACCATTGCGATTTTCTTTTGCTTTGTGACATTATTTCCAAGATGAATTACCTCTTTAAATCCCACTTAAAATTCTCATCGGTAATGTCAAGAGAACTTTATTGTAAAGTATTTCTACATCATTGTAGTATTTGTTGTACTGCCCTTTTTGATTTAATAAAAAGCTATTTTTTATTGTAATGCAGAACTACAATAATAAAACTAACGTCCAGGTCATACTGAAGTGACAATTTGTGCTTAATTGTCACAAAATAATGCAAAAATGTAGGCTTGACTTTCTTTACTCGATGTAAGGTTTGATTCTGGGCAGAGATGATGACCTCTGACCCTGAGGCTTACCTCCAGTCAGCAGCGGACGGAAAGATCCCATCAAACATTTAAAGAGTCTGGTTTCATTCAGTTATTTAGAAAAATGTCCAATAGTTCAGTTTGTTGTAGAGATGAAGTGGCTGATTTTCACGTGATCGGCCATGATTGGTGACCGGTCGGTCAGTCTGACATAATCCGATTTTAGACCGGTCAAATGCGCTCGGGCGCCGCGTGATGAACTTCACGGGGTTTCTCGGCGTGCAGGTGAACCAGTGCATTCTCACCGGGAGCCGGAGCGGCGCGAGCGTCGAGTAGGGGCGTCAGTGTAAGCTGCGCTCAATTAAAGTGAAAGCACACTTTTAATGGATAAAATATGATTTCATTCAAAGAGTGTTTAAACAAGAACTGAAGTAGGCTAGGCTATAGGCCTATCAGAAAAGAAAACGAAGACTCAAAAATATGAATAGAAAATGCACCCATTTATTTATTATTTATTATTTCCCAATCGTTTCCCTGCACACGCTCCACTTCTCCTGTTCAGCCTGCTGGGCCTGTGAGAGAAAGATAACTTGCCATTGATGTACAAGTGATTGCAATAGGCCTGTGTGTGTGTGTGTGTGTGCGAGAGAGAGAAATATCTATACACTGCAATGCTATATTTATTTTTAATTGTTATTTATACATTATTTTATTGCCCTTACCTGTTTTCATACAGAAGTTTAGTTTTAGTTGTTTATTGGATGTGAAAAGGAAAAGGTTCTTCATAACTGCACTGTATGAGTGTGAGTTTCCCACATTAGGA